TATCTATCTATCTATCTATCTATCTATCTATCTATCATCTAATTATTTTAATCAAGAAAAGGATGCTATCTGATAAAATAGATAGATTTTAGTTTGAAACTGCAAAGCCATGATGCACCTTTTCTATTAGCTATAATGCATATTTTACAAATACAACATATTTTAATAATTCATCACATGAATGAATGAAAATATTTCCAGAGAAGGAAAAGGTCATCGTCATATTCCAGAAAACTAAGTTTAACATAATTAATTAATCAGTCTGGTAAAAATTTTTTTACCAGGACAAACCTAATGTAGCTTTTGTTTATTTATCAAGTAAAAAGGATTTGATGGCAAAAAGAARAAAGTGATGAGGTGGCAGAAACCGACAAGTGAGAAGATGAAGATTCATTGATCCGTGTAAACTGTGACTGAAGAAGAGAAAAAAACTCTAAAACCACTACATAAAYAAAACAGTGTCTTCTGACAGTATGGAAAATAATTTAGTCTTAAATGTATTTAAATATAATCTCAATTGCACAAATCCCATAATATTTACCAAAACCTGAGCCAAAATGCAGAAGGTGTGAAACTCTCTACCCTGCATGCAAATCTTTTTTTTTCCCCCCATAAAAATGTAGAATTTAAAAAAAGTATATATTTTTTAATAAAACTGCATTTTTACATTTTGGACTCATGAAGGGCACCTACCACTGTTCCTCCTCAGAGTTAATATTAGCTACGCTTTCAAGCGTGACAGCTTCATCATTTCTATGCTAATGCCCTAACAGAGGTCAGCCTCTAACCAGGTAACACCTTATCTACACCGCACCAGTACATATACTGCGTACCATCATGTTTGTACTCACCAGCTACTGTACTGTACACAAATGGATGGAGCAGCTCAGAAACAAGCAGCAGGTGAGTATTCCTCTCATCCGCGCTCGTTCTCTTTAAACTTGTCTGAGGTTTTTAGTTGTCCACATTTAAATGTACTCGAAGCCAAAATGAAGAACTCTGATGAGTCTCCTGGGAGAGGAACCGACGAAGAGAAGAATATTCTGGAGCAGGAAAATCAATCGGAGACGACTCATAATACCACACTACTTTTGAATCCATGGAAACCCTGCAGAGGGTCTCGAAGAGTCATCAGAGGTCAGTGATGTGCAACATGAGAATAAAGTTTTGATTTCTTACTGCAACATGTTAGAAACATTTCTATTCATAGAAAAAAAAATCCTAATATGTGATCATCAGCTATGTTATTTAACTTGGACCTGTTTATTGTTTTAACTGGAGGGGTTTTGTCTTCACAGACTGTCTTTTGAAGCTGAGGCGTTGTTTGGAATCAGTGTGTGGGATGAAGTGGTACGGCTACGCTACTCTGGGTGTTTTGACAGCCGTCCTGAGCTTCATCGCGGACTTCATCGTGGCAAAGCTGCTGAGAGGTGACGGCACAAACACAACCGCTTAACATTTCACAAAACCACAGCGGCGGGGATTATTTTGTCCTCTTGTATCACTTTTAGCTCACCAGTGGCTTTATTTGAACCTGGAGGGCAACATCCTGCTGCAGTTCCTCTGCTGGACTCTCTACCCAGCATCCCTCTGTGGTTTCACAGCATCTTTCACCTACAGCATCTGCCCTTTCTCCACAGGTTAGTCCATAAACACTTACACTAGGGCTGTGTATTGGCAAGAATTTGGCGATACG